TGGAAGTGGACCATGATTTCTTCCAGAACAAAGTGTGGCCCCATTTGGTCCAGAGAGTGCCATCTTTTAAGACTCTAAAGGTAACTAACAGGGAATAATTGTTCCTGTTGGGCTTGGGAATCAAACAGTATGGATGATACTGGAGCATCTTGGTCCCTTTGACCTGTTGTGTTCCTGCCACATAGCAACCACTGAGGATGTGGATCTGTCCCATCCCATGAACCCTTTAGCAGCTGATCCCTGAGCAAGGGTATGGGTTGAGCATTCCTGTGGCTTTGCTAAAAACCTCAACATCTTTTGCACCTGCAGGTACAGAGCAACTGGGCTGGCTATTATGACTACAACACTTTTGACCAGAATGGCGTGGTGGGCCCCCACCCACTAGTTGTCAACATGTACTTTGCTACGGGCTTCAGTGGTCATGGACTTCAGCATGCACCTGGCATTGGTCGAGCTGTGGCAGAAATGGTACTAGAGGGCCAGTTCAAGACCATTGACATGAGCCCCTTCCTCTTCAACCGCTTTTACTTAGGAGAGAAGTTACAAGAGTACAATATCCTGTGAGTGTGAAAACTCTTCACAGTGACTGTGCTGCCCTAACCTCTCCAGGACTATGTCGGGGCTGCATCCCTTTCTTCACCATCCTCTAAGCCAGGCCACTTTTCCCCAGTGGCTCTGGACATGGGATGAACAATAGGCACAGAGATCCAGGCCAATGGAAAGTGATAAAATGGGACCCTGGGACTGATTGTAGCCCATCATCCAAAACAGTTCTGCTGGCGTCCTAGGCATGGGGCCCAGGACTGGCCTCCTTCCTCCTTTCTGACCTTCTGGTCAGAGCCCAGGCACACAGTTTTCTAGGATTGCCTGGCCCAAATTTATTGAGTCATTTGTTAATCTATTCTTCAGCCGGGCGTGGTGGCTTATGCCTTTAATTCAGCACTTGGGAGGCAGAGGCAGGTGGATCTATGTGAGTTCTAGACCAGCCTGGTCTACAAAAGCTAGTTCCAGGATAGCCTCCAAAGCCACAGAGAAACCCTGTCTCGAAAAACCAAAAAAAAAAAAAAAAAAAACTATTTTCAATCAATATATGTGATTAACCCATTCCCTCTGGTCTTGTGTTCTGTTTCCTTCTCTTATGGTAGCAGCTTTTGACGCATCGTGCCATTAACAAGGCAGCCTCATCCTCTTGGGAGTGTTTCTTAGATCCCCCGTGGGAGGCATCCTGTTTGTAAGCTAGTATCCGCTATCCCCGAGTTCTACAGAAACCAATGGTTCTAGAGGGGGAAATGGGAACGTTCATGTAGTCAACTTACAAAGCCCCAGCTTCAGACTACCAGCATTCAATCTATAGCAGAATTCAAAGTGGCATTCTGGCTGGGTTGTGGAGAGAAAGAAGAGCCAAGGTCTGAAAAGTCACTCTAAGAAGCCTGGATTTCATCTCGGCAGAAGCCCAGCAGGAGAATTTTAAATAGGAAGACATCATCAGATTTTCCTTTTAAAAATCTCCCTCTAGCTAAGGGTGGCGGTGGTGCACACCTTTAATTCCAGCATTCAGGAGGCAGTGGCAGGAGGAGCTCTGTGAGTTTGAGGACAGCCAGGTCGGTCTACAGAGCTAGTTCTAGGACAACCAGGGCTACACAGAGAAACCCTGTCTCAAACAAATAAAAAATATCCCCCTGGCTAAGGGTACAGCCTGGTGGCAGAGTGCTTAGCATGTGGATGGCACTGGGTTTGACCCTCAGCACCAACACAAGGGAACCTGGGGGAAGTCACTGGTTCCCTTGTAGAGAACAGATTCAGATAGCAAGGCAGGAAACAGGTTCTAGACTGAGGCTGTTGCAGTCCATATAGCACATAACAGTCACGGGAAACACAGGGAGCAATGTAGTGATACTGACAACATGAAATGGAGTCAGTATTTCCTAGTTTTTGGCTAAACAGCCAAATGGTACCATGTTTCTTACAGAAACGACACAGGGAAGAAGAGCAAAATGAGTAATCTGGTGTGGGACATGCTGAGAGGAAAATGACTATGGGAGGTATAATGGGTCACTGGATTAAATGCGGTGGGCAGTCTAGGTTGTAAAGACTTGATAAAACAGCATCATCAATGGAGAGCCAAGAGTTAGGGACAACACACAAAAGCTGGAGGGACCCCCATGGCATTCAGAGAAAACCAGATGAATGCTGCAGTGACCCGTGAGGCAGGAGAAAACCCAGGAGTGTAGAATCATGAAAAACAAGAAGTAGGCACCAGAATGAAATGCCACATGCCAGCTGGGTTCAGCACCTAGCAGGTCAGTGGTGACGAGGGAATGCAGTTTAAGGTGTAGACGGTTGCAGAAGAGTGAACTAGAGTAGGGCTTCCTGGGAAAATGGCTCCATTAAAAGTCCGTTGGAGAGAATGAAAAGCAAAAGAACAGAGGTAGACATCATATAGGAGAGGGCACAGGAGAGATGGGCCAGCTGGAAGTATAAGGTCTGTGTGTGACTTGGGCAAAAGATAGGCACAAGACAAATAAGCAAAAGGAAAGCTATCAGCAGGTAGTGCTGAAATATTAGAAGGGAACATAGTGCACAGGCTTCAGATGCTAACAGAACTAGTCAGTCCAGAGAATTGCTTAGCTCTTTAGGTGCCCTATAGTGATTTCAGTATAGCTATCATAGTCTAAGGGTCCAAAGAAATAGGTGCTATAATCATTAATGCCTAAGGAATCCTCTGCTCCTGCAGAACTTTAATTTGATCCTATGGGAAACCTTTATGGGAATGCAATTACATCTGCCTTGCCGTTTACGTGAGGAGCTAGACCAAGCCCTCATCTTTGCCCCAATCCCAGCCATCCCAGAGCTTGCCCTGTACTCTGAGTGCCCATCTATGCATTCCTGCTGGACCCCAAAGGACCTCCCCTGGCCCCAGGGAGTCTATACTGCAATGAGAGGTAGGGGCAAGGCAATGGGATTTCTGGGAAGGATTGGGGAGGGCAGAATTTAAAAAACTGGTTCAAAATGCCGTTTGGGCCTGACAACTAAATTTCAATCCCAAGAATCCAAGTAAAAAAAGCAGGATGTGGTTGCGTATGTCGCCAGTAATCCCAAGATTCAGTCTGTCAAGAAGGGGATGTGGAGACAGGAGAATTGCCTAGAAGCTAAACAGCCAGTCAGCAGAGAGTATATGACTTGGCAGAAACAAGAGGTCCTGCCCCCCACCCCACCCCCGGGAGGGGGGAGGCTGGAGAGATGGCTCAGAGATTAAGAACTTTGACTGCTTTTCCAGAGGTCCTGAGTTCAATTCCCAGCAACCACATGGTGGTTCACAACCATCTATAATGAGATCTGGTGCCCTCCTCTGGCGTGTAGGCACACATGCAGACAGAACATTGTAAGCATAATAAATAAAATAAATCGTAAGGAAAAAATAAAGAGGTCCTGCCTTAACAAGGTGGAAGAGAAGCATGATATATTATTTATGATTTAATAAAGCCACTGGAAATCAAAAGGCAAAGCTAGCCACAGAGCCAGGCAGTGATGATACACATCTTTAATCCCAGCAGTTAGCCACAGAGGCCAGCCAGAGTGGTAAACACCTTTAATCCTAGGACTCCAGAGACAAAGGCAGAAGGATCTCTGTTAACTCAAGGTCACACTGACTGATCCAGTCTAAAAGAGAAACAGAGCTCACACAAAGGTGATCTCAGCACTTGGGATCACATGCCTTTAATCACAGCACTAGGGAGGTGGAGACAGGAGTGATACGGCTGAGAGGAAACAGAAATATAAGGCGGGAGGAGACAAGAACTCAGAGGATTGTAGTCTGAGGCTTGGTGGAGAGTAGTGCAGTCTGTATTGTACTCTGAGGATTCACGGAGACAGGATCACCCATTTCGGTCTGAGGTAGAGGTAAGAATAGTGGCTTGGCTGCTTTGCTTTTCTGATCTTCAGCTTGAAGCTTGAACCCCAATATTTGTCTCTGGGTCTTTTATTATTCGTGTTACAATTGGGAAAGAAAAAGAAACCGGACTAGAGGGGAGATACGGCCTTTCTTACACCAGCCCATTAAACGCCTCCCACCTGCCAACATTTCATGTGCATTGTGCATTGTTTTCAGATTGACTTTGTTTGGTTGGTTGGTTTTTCGAGGCAGGGTGTGTCTGTGCAGCTTTGGAGCCTATCCTGGCACTGGCTCTGGAGACCAGGCTGGCCTCAACTCACAGAGATCCGCCTGCCTCTGCCTCCGGAGTGCTGGGATTAAAGGCCTGAGCCACCAACGCCCGGTGGCTTTGTTTGTTTTTGAGACAGGGTTTCAAGCGGGGCAATGGTGGTGAGACAGAGTTTCTTTGTGTAACAATGCTGGCGGTCCGGAACTCAAGAGATCCGCCTGACTCTACCTCCCCTGCGCTGGGATTGAAGGCCTGCACCCCCACTGCCCGGCCTCAGGTTGGCATTTTAATAACACTTCTATGGGGGGAAACGCTGTGTTCTTTATTCCCTTGGAGCTTCACAAAGCTCACAGCAAGAACTCTAGGAAATGGGGGCAAAGGACTTACTTAAGTATTTCATCAGGACTTATCAACATCTTGCCTAACCAATCACCCTTTTTTGAAATTATTTTGGTACCCTCGGAACTGCAGTTGAATGTCCATCCGGAAATCCCTGCCCTGAGGGCAAACACTTTTGGCCACACTGATTCCAGCCTGTGGGCGTCAACATTAATGGGACCCACCTTCCATAAAGATACTGTCTTCTTTGTACCATTTAACCTACCTTGAGAGACCTTCTTGAAAATGCCTCATTTTCCTGCGCCTCCCTTGCTGGAGGAATTTTCTCCTCGTTCCCTTGGCCTCAGACGGGGCAAACCGGGGCTCAGGGATCCACGGTGGCTCTATGGGACTCTGGAGTAAGGGTTCAGCGGCAGGTCGGCGACCGGACAGCCGGGAAGTCTGGGAGACGCTGGCGGGCGAGCGCCCCCTAGGGACGAGCGGGCGGGCGCGGGCAGGAGGGCGGCGGCCGAGTAGCTTCCGGGGGCCGGGGTGCGGGCACTTCCCGGCCGAGGCTGCAGCCCGCAGCCCGGGATCCGGCAGGTGAGCGGGCGGCGGGGGTGCGGGGCGGCCGGGGCCTGGGAGTCAGCCCTTTCTTTCTCGGGACACCCTCGTCCCTGCCCTGCCCCTTCCAAGACGCGGTCCAGCACTCCCCGGAGAGCCGCCACCTTCCTGTGGCACCGATGCGCGCGCGGGACTGTTAGCGCGGCTGGGCTTCAGCAGCCTGGCCGTGTCAGGTGACTCTTTCTGGCTCCTGGCAGTCTCTACTCTCCTCACAACCTGACCCCCTGCTGTTGGGCTTGACTCTGTGGCAGTGTTCTGTAAGAATGTCACCTTATTTAGGGTTAAGAACCTACTGGGCGTTGCTACCACAGTCACTTAATGGGCGTCTACCAGGGACGACTACTGTGCCAAGAACCAAAGAGACACGGGGAGTAGGAACAGTTCGGTACACTGGGTGGCAGGTAATCTAGAAACCCGAGAAGTGCCAACTAGAAAGGGAAGTGGGGAGTGCTCCAGATGACAGACCTACCCGGGAATGACTCAGAGGAAACCTTGCCTGCTTTGTTTTCAGGCTTAAAGAAACAATCAGTAACAAACATATGGAAAAGTGCACACATCCCGAGTTCCGCCAAACCGGTTTTCACAGACTTGCTTGAGTAACCTGCATCGAGAACGGTAAGTCTATATATGTCCGTTGATGTATAATATTCTGCCAAAAAGAATGGACTGTGTATAGTTTATTCATTTTACTGAACACAGCCTGATGGGCATGCTTGTTTTCATCTTTGGCCTATTTTGAGTAGTGTGACTTTCGTGTGTTTGCTCGGTTTGATTATATAGTGTGCAGCAACTTTCAAAAATAGTTGTGCTTGGGCTAGAGCAAAGGCTCGGTGGTTAAGAGCACTGGGTGCTTTTCCAAGAGGACCCCTGGTTCGATCCCCAACACTCTCATGGTGGCTCTCAAACATCTATAACTCCAATTCCAGATGATTGGATACCTTCTTCTGGTCTCTGCAGGCACCTGGCACGAAAGTGGCACATAGACATACACACAGGCAACACATCCAGACACACAAACATTTTTTTTAAGTTAAAAAAAAAAAAGTTGTGCTTTCTGGGTACCACAGCAGACAACTGTATTCTCAGGTCTCAGTGGTGGAGATGAGAGGAGATAAGTTCAAGGCCAGCCTGGATTAGCTCACACTTCCAGCAGCAGTGTGTGGGCCCACTCTTCTGTCCTTTCAAGCTCCAGCCAGTGCCCTCCTTGTAGCTGTTTCTGCTGACTGCAAAGCTTTGATGCCTGAGGTTTCAATTTGCATTTCTCTGAGTACTGGTAAACAAGCATCTTTCTGTCTGCTGGTCATTTGAATATCTTTTCTGTGAAATGGTGTTCAAGTCTTCTCCCCATTTGTGTCTCTTAGCAGTTTATATGAATGTGAGTTCTTGAAATATACTTCTTTCTTTTTCTTTTCCAGATAGGGTTTCTCTGTCTGTAACAGTCCTGGGTATCCTGGAACTCCCTTTTTAGACCAGACTGGCCTCAAACTCACAGAGATCCACCTACCTCTGCCTCCCAAGTGCTAGAATTAAAGGTGTGTACCACTACTCTCCAGCTACATACATATTTTTAAATATTTCCTCTGTTTCAGTAAATTCCCTTCTCTCCTAATGATAGCTTTGGGGCAAAAGTCTTCACATTAATGTTTTCCAATTCATCATTTCCCCCTTATACAGAGTATATTGAATTATTATTATTATTATTATTATTATTATTATTATTATTAATTATTTTGTTTTTTTTGAGACAAGGTTTCTCTGTATAGCTTTGGAGCCTGTCCTGGAACTCACTCTGTAGACCAGGCTGGCTGGGATTAAAGGCATGCGCCACCAACGCCAAGCCAGAAGTAATGGTTCTCACCTGTATTTTCAGCATGCAGGGGAAGTGCTGTGAGTTTGAGACCAGCCTGGCCTACTTACCGAGTTCTAGGCCAGCCTCTACAAAGTGAGACCCCATTTTTTTTTTTTTTTTTTTTTTTTTTTTTAATTTTCTTGCTTTATCTACTCCAAAGTCAGAAATCATGGTTATATGTTTTCCTATAAGATCTTTATTGTCTTGCTAGTCACAGCTATCTCTAATATCTATTGAAATTTAGTTTGTGTGTCTTGAGATGTAGATTGAGATTAATATTCCCCATGATACTATCTAAGTAGACCTAATACTATGGATTGCAAAGAGCACCATTTTGGGAGCTGGTGGTGTGGCTCAGTTGGTAGAATTCTTCCCTAACATGCCCAAAGCCTTGGGTTAGATCCCCAGTACGACATAAAACTGGGCTTGGTAGCCCTTGCCAGTAATCCTAGCATTTAGAAGTGGAGGCTGGAGGATCAGAAGCTCAATGTCATCTTCAACTATAGAACAAGTTGAAGGCCAGCCTGGGTTAGTAAAAACAACCCTTATCTCAAAATAAGGAGGAAGAGGAGAGAAGACCATTATCTTTCTCTACTGAACTTCAGTCTCACCATTGCCATAAGGGAGGAGGCTGTTGAGATGCAGGTCTGTTTAGTGACACACTGATTTTATATTGCCTGCTTCCCTTCCCCACCAGTCATTCTGCCTTAGCTGCTATTGCTTTACAGTAAATCATTAGACTCTGGTAGTGCACTGGTGAGCAGTTGTCTTTAAGATCTTAGCAACTTTTCACAGCCTTTACCCACAGAGCCTTTTAAAGTGTACTAAAAGTACTCATCTGGGCATTTGAGACATAGGTTAGTGGGAGAGTCCTCAGCATGTGCTGGATTCCATATCTCCAGCACTACTTAGAGAGGCTCGGGGAGGAGGTTGGGTAGGAAGGGGGAGGGAGGAAGAAGGGAAGGGAGAGGGAGAGATCAGGGAGGGGGAGCCATTTTTAAGATCAAGGGGTAACTAATGTCTGAAGACATGCTTTGGTTTGTATGTTTGTTTTGTTTTGTTTTTAGGGACAGGTTTTCCCTGTGTATCTCTGACTGTCATGGAACTCAGAAATCTGCCTGCCTCTGCCTCCCGAGTGCTGGGATTAAAGGTGTGTACCACTACCACCACCACCACCACCCAGTTGGTTATTTATTTATTTTTGAGACAGTTTCTCTGTGACTTTGGAGGCTGTCCTGGAACTAGCTCTTGTAGCCCAGGCTGGTCTCGAACTCACAGAGATTCTCCTGCCTCTGCCTGCTGAGTGCTGAGATTAAAAGTGTTCATCACCACTACCCGGCTTGGTTTGATTTTTTAAGACAGGATTTCCACTATGCACCCCTGACTAGTCTGGAATTCATTATGTAGACCACAATGGCCTTGATGCACAAACACGCAGATCTTCCTGCCTTTGCCTCTGCCTCCTGAATGCTGCTGACCCAATCTATGTTAAGTGCCTGCATATTTACACAAAATCCACACATCATTTAGTTATATATGTATTTAAACCTACATGATATATTTACAGAACAAAGGCAGTGTTTTTGAACTAAGAAACTGAAGCATACCAAGAACCAGTTTGAAAAATATGGCAATATTATGTATGCTATGACTCCTGTTTGGATGGTAGGTGTTTCTATATAACTAAATTGCAGCTAAGTGTTTATATTTACTGCCTTTGAGAATTCACAATCCTTCTTCCTCAATCTTCCAGATGTTGGGATTACAGGCATTGCATCATAATACCCAGAAAAAACTTTAAATTTATACTTAAGGTTAAAATAATGGGTGCTTTTATTTACATGGACACACACTTTTTGACATTTTTATTCTTCAGAACGTACAAATTGTAGTGTGGAAAGTAGTTTGGAGTTTATTTCACAGTTATTTCACAGAAAGAATCACAAAATTTGTTGGGCACTCATTGCTAGCCAGAAAAGAGGTGCATGCATGTAATCCCACCATGTGGAAGGTAAAGGCAGGAAGATCTGGAGTTCAAAGTCGCTCTGAGCTGCAGAGTGAGTTGGAGGCAACCTGTGCTATAAAAGACACTACCTTAAGCTGGGCCTTTAATCCCAGCACTTGGGAGGCAGAGGCAGGCAAATCTCTGAGTTCAAGGCCAGCTTGGTCTACAGAGCGAGTTCCAGGACAGCCAGGGCTGTTATACAGGAAAATCCTGTTTCAGGAGGGGGAGGGAGGGAAGACCCTACCTTAACTCCCCCCAAAATAAAAATATATAAGCAAATAATTTCACTGATTATAAATATCAGCAATTTATTTGCTTTTAAAATTAGAAAATGTATTAGTATTGTTGTGTATGTGAGAAAGAGAGAGATGGGAGTGTGTGCACATGTCACAGTGTGTATGGGGGCCAGAGGACAACTTTGTGGAGTCGATTCTCTCTTTATGTGGGTTCTGAGGGTAGAACTCAGGTCACCAGGTTTGTGCAGAAGGTTTTACCACCTGAGCCATCTTTGTTGTTGTTGTTGTTTGTTTTTTTGAGACAGGGTTTCTTTGTGTAGTCCTGGCTGTCCTGGAACTCACTTTGTAGACCATGCTGGCCTCGAAGTCACTGAGATCGCCTGCCTCTGCGTCCCAAGTCCTGGGATTAAGGGTGTGTGCCACCACTGCCTAGCCACCCGAACCATCTTGCTGGCCAACCCCCTCACCTTTTTTTTGAAGTAGGATCTCAGAATGTATCCAGATTAGCCTCAAAATCTTTGTGTAGCTCAGGCTAGCCTCAAACTCATTATCTTGCCTCAGCTTTCCTAGTGCTGGGATTATAAGCATACACCACTGTTAACAGTTTTCAGCTAGTTTTGTTGTTGTTGTTTTGTTTTTTATACTTGGGATTGAACCTAAGGCTTCATGCATGCCAGGTAAACACTGTACCACTCTTTGAGTTACAGTTTCAGCCTTTCATTGCTCATATAAATAAGATTTGATGTGGTGTTGCACACCGATAGCCCTAGCACCTGGGAGACTGAAGCAGGATCAAAATTTTATTTTTATGGTTTTTAAAATTAATTTTTTTTATTTTGTGTATATGGGTGTTTTGCCTGTATGCATGTCTGTGTACCACATGTGTACTGGAAGAGTCTAGAAGAGGGTCTTGGACCCCCCTGGAACTGGAGTTATAGATGGTTGTAAGCTACTGTGTGGGTGCTAGAAATCAAACCAGGGTTCTCTGGAAGAGCAGCCAGTGCTCTTCTTAACCCTGGAGCTATCTCTCTAGTTCCATGATTGCAAATTTAAAACCAGCATAGACTACATAGCAAGAATCCATCTTAAATATATATATTATAATGTGTATTTTATGACACCAAATATATATATATATATATATATATATATATATATATATAGTTTAACATTTAGACTAATGCTTCCATGTATCAGAATTTAAAAAAAAAAACTCGTAAAACTTAGGCTTTACTTCTGAACCACCCAATAGTCTCCAGGAGTATCCTTGTATTTTGTTTTGCTTTTCCTAGTGGGTTGTTTTGTGTGTGTGTGTGTGTGTGTGTGTGTGTGTGTGTGTGTTTATTTTATCTGTTTTGTTGAGGAGGGGTTTCAATTTATAGCTCAAGCTAGCCTGGGATTCACTATGTAGCCCAGACTGGCCTTGAACTAGAAGTGATCCTCCTGCCTCAGCTTCCTAAATCTGTAATGGGATTATAGGCATGTTCTACCATGTCCAGTTCTTGTGCTGGTTCTTTTTTGATGGCACTCCTTGTTAATTATCCATGAAATCAATGTCATTCTCTATAAAGTGGGTCTTTGGGTACATGTCATTCTACTCTATGCATTTAGAAAAGAAAACATGACTTCTTATGAGCCCCAGGGAGTCAGAGACTAGACAAAGCTGGTGATTAGACCTTCCAGCTGGAGATTTGGATTCACTATCTTTGTTTTTTGGTTTTTCGAGACAAGGTTTCTCTGTATTGTTTTGGAGCCTGTCATGGAACTCACTCTGTTGGTTAGGCTGGCCTTGAACTCACAGAGATCTTCCTGCCTCTGCCTCCTGAGTGTTGGGATTAAAGGTGTGTGCCACAACGGCTGAATTTACTATCTTATCTGCTTGACGTGTGTGACTTGCTATGTGGTGACTGTCGCTCTGCGTCTCAGAAAAGTTAAGTCATATCTGATTGCTCCCCAGCATTGGCTGCAAAAGAATTTACAGTAAAAAAGGAAGGTTCATGAGGTTTTATCAAGGAAGTACATGTTTTCTGGTACTTATCTTCCATCTTGCACAATTATCCTGTCAGAGATGGTGTTATTCTCTACGCTCACACTTTTCCATAATGACAGTTAAAAGACATATCCCACCCACCCCTGCTTCCAGTGGATACACTTTGAACAGTTGACTTAATTTTCCTCCTGCTCCTCTTTCTTCTTCCTCTTCCCTTCCTCTCTCTCACCCTTCTTCCCCTTCCCTCCACATTGGTAGGCTCATCGGTGCATGCTAATCAAGCACTTTACCTCAGTGCTACATTTCCAGCTTGAATTTTTTTTTTTTTCTGAAGGAGTAAAAAAGGCAGTTGCCCAAAATGGTAAGTTATTTCAAAAACCTTACTTGCTTCCTTCCTGGTACTTCCCTTCTTCACCCTCTTCCTTCTCCTCCCCCTCCTTCTTTCTATCCCTAAGCTACACCCCTGGGCCTGTTTCATAAAACTTTTATGTGATATTCAAGTTGAATATCACATTATGTGATTTTTTTGTTTCCGTACTATTTTTATGCTGTCTTAAATATTAGAATATAATTTTTTAAAATAAGTGATTTTCCAGGTTGTATCAAGGGCAAAGAATACATTTTCTATTACAACAAAAATTGAGAAAATCTTTAGAGAGTATTAAAATGATCTTATACATGCTGCCAGGGGAAAAGTCATCTTTATTTATTACTTTTAAGATTTGTTTTTATTTATGTGCATATGTGTGTGTTTGAGAGAGAGTGTATGCTGTTTGTGGGGAAGTGCCCTTGGAGGACAGCTAGAGTTACAGGCAGTTGTGACCCATGTGGGATGTGGGAACCAAACTCGGTTTGTCTTGAAGGAGCAGCATGCTCTCTTGAGCACTAAGGCATCTGTCTCTCCAGCACCTGGAAGAGGAGCTATCTTGAATGGTCTCCTGAAGGTGTAGAGTTAGCAGCCCCTGACCAGGAACAGGCCACCTCTCACTTAGCTTGTCAGAAACCTAGAGAACACGAAGAAGGAACAAAGCTCATGTAGATACAAACAGTCCACTGAGGCACAATCCGCTGAGTGGCCTCCTGCATGCTTTGATTGCTTTTCTCTTTCAGGTAGCTTCTCCGAGTCCAGCACTCATCCCCCTCCTTTTTGTTCTGTTTGTCAGACAAATACCTTGAGAATTACTTACAGGAGGAGAGCTATATAAAGCTTAGGGTTTCAGAGGGTTTGCCTCATCACGGTGGGAGGGTAGGCGGGAACAGAGCAGTTTGGGTCACGTTGGCTATGAAGCAGAGAGAATACAGAAAAGGGACACGGCAAGATTTAGCCAACAAGGAAACACCTCCAGTTATGCTTTCCCCAACTAGGCTACACTTCCACCTTCACACCTCCCAGCCATGTCATCAAATTATGAATCCATCAAGGGATTGCTGCATCCATTACATCAGCGCTCTGTGTTCTAATCATCTTGGGGAGCACCCTCACAAATACCCCTATGGGAGTGCCGTACTAGTCTCTAGGCATTTCCCATTTCAACCAGGCCAACAATTAAGATCAGTCACCACATTGCCTCTGTTGCTGTGCAGTGTATGTTTTTTGAACTGTGGTACTTGTTCATTAATGTCCAACACAGAGTTATATTTTTTAAAATTTTATTTATTTATTTATTTATTTATTTATTTTAATTTGAGACAGGGTTTCTCTGCATAACCCTGGCTATACTAGAACTTGCTTTGTAGACCAGAGCTGACCTTGAACTCAGAGATCCACCTCCCTCTGCCTCCCAAACACTGGAATTAAAGGCGTGCATCACCACCGCCAGACAAGATGTACATTTTAAAAATTTTGAAGCTTCTGATTACAGGGTATCTAATCATCAGATTTATTTTCTCTATGAATTCCCAGAGGGAACTTTCATTATGACTTATACAGATCCGGCAAAAAGCCAGACAGTAACCCTGTGTTTGTTTCTCATAGCTCCCAAACCCAGTTGTCTACCAGTCCTTCGGCTGGAGAATTGCCTCTAGAATGCTAGGACTTCCCAGCATTGGAACAGGCTCTGCCCCCACAGAGTCTCTGTGTAGCTTTGGAGCCTGTCCTGGTCTATAGACCAGGCTGGCCTTGAACTCACAGAGATCCGCCTGCCTCTGCCTCCAGAGATTAAATCTCTACTGAGATTAAGAGCATGCACCGACACCACCCAGCTTGTTTTCTTTTAAAATAGGGTCTCAAAATGGGTGGTGGTGCACACTTGTAATCCCAACACTGGGAAGGCAGAGGCAGGTGGATCTCTATGAGTTTGAGGCCAACCTGGTCTACAAAGCAAGTTCTAGGACAGTCAGAGCTGTTAGACAGAAACAACAACAAGAAAGGATAGGGTCTAAATAGATTTCTGAAGCTGATCCAAACTCATAGATACAAGTAATCCACCTGCCTCATCCTCCTGTGTTCCTGAGACCACAAGTTTATGCTACTAGATCTTGATAAGAACATACTAATCCATGGTACTTTTATTTTTATACACGATGTACTGTTAGTATATTATACAAGTTACTTCATGTTAATTCAAATGGTAATGCTGAGTTGCAGTTTCTAGCATCACAGATGGAGACACCAAAGCCTAGAAAGACTGTTGAAGGCTATGGTCAGCATGAGGTGGAAATCCATGCAATCTATGTGTAGTCGGTAGCCTTCACCATTCTATGACATTATTTCCCTAGCTGACAGGTAAGGGCTAAGTGAGTGGGTGGATGGGGTTAGGGGAAGAAGACAGGGGAAATGTAGCAAGACTTCAAGTATTCCTACTGTTTAACACTCATCTACCTGTTCAAAGGGCCAGTCCCTCTCTCATTTCAGCATTGACACAGGAAGTCCTTCTAAAAAACTGCCTGGGCCGGGCATTGGTGGCGCACTCCTTTAATCCCAGCACTTGGGAGGCAGAGGCAGGTGGATCTCTGTGAGTTCGAGGCCAGCCTGGTCTCCAGAGCAAGTGCCAGGATAGGCTCCAGGCTACACAGAGAAACCCTGTCTCAAAAAAAAAAAAAAAAAAAAAAAAAAAAAAAAAACAACTGCCTGTCCTCTCTGTGTTTTCCCAGATCCTAGATGCACTCCTGGCCAAGTGAAGCAGTCACTCTACCAAGTTCCTACCTTGTAAGTCTGGTCACACTTCACAGCTCTGGCTCGTTTCCCTGGTTAGAGACTGAGTCATTAGAAACTAGTAGAAAAGCAGAACTTCTAGGTAAGTAAGCACAATGATTGTGATTCTCTGTCCCTTGCAGGATGGCTGTTCCATGGCTCTCCCCGCTCCTGCCACTCCCCCAATGCCTGCTCTCCCAGGGTTAATTTGGAGGCCTGAGCTATGGCTTCGTCCTCCTCCATCCCAGCCTCTCCCACTCAGTCCAAGAAGCCTCGAGACAAGATAGCTGGTGAGTGCAGCCAGTCTCCTAATTATGCTCTGGTTCCTAAGAGAACAATCCCCAGGCTGCTGGTGAGGTGAGAAGACTGCCTTGTCTGAACACAGAGGAGAGATGCAGAAAGGCTGGTGATGGGGACAGAGCTTCTGTTGAGATGGCCCAAAGCTTCATGGAGAGGGAGGAATAAGGCATGCATGATGGGTTCCACAAGCCTTTGTTTCAGATGTTTTCCTGACCTGCTTGGCCTGAAAACCATTGTGCAGAATGTTTAACATGCTGTATCTTGTCATCTGAATCCTTTCCCAGAACTGTTCAGAGAGAGGAAATAAGGAAAGAAATAATGAAACAATCCCCAGTACAGCTGAGCTTTAATATTATATAGTACTTACAATTTACCTTCAAAAACTAAACAAACTCATTTTATAGATGAGGAAATGGAGATGGAGGCCAATTTGCATAAGGTCATAGAGCAAGCAGTTTGTCAGGTCTACAGTCCCATCTGGGCCTGGCTGAAGTGTGGCTTCTGAAATACCAAGCTCTATGCTGCATGGGAGCTCTGACTATAGCCCTTGGCCTCTGAACAACAGAACAGATTCCAGTCTGCAGGCCCTTTTTCTTTTCTCTTTTCTCTTTTAAAAATTTAAATTAGAAACAATCTTGTTTTACATGTCAATTCCAGTTTCCTCTTCCTCCCCTCCTCCCCTGCCCCCTCTAGGCCCTTTTCCTTAATTAGTTACTCATTTGTGTTAACCCAGGCTGTGTTGAACTTGCCATTGCAGTTGAGGTTGACCCTGATTCTGGTCCTCTGCTTCTATGTCCCAAATTCTGGGATTACAGGCATATATCACTGTACCCATCATCTGGTCCTTTCCATTCTTACTATGATCTAACTTCACCTCCTTTCAGGGATGCAGCTAGGCCTTGGGCCTGTTTAACCCTTATCTGTAGATGAAGTTCTTTGTCAACTCACATAGACAGTTAACTATTCTGGTTTCAGAGCCTTCTGATTAAAGTGGGCTCTGGGTAGCAGATATCAAATGATCTACAGCAGAACAAGGCCATCTGTATTTTATTTTATAGTTAAATTATTAATTTATAGTTAAATACATTTGTTTTATTCTAATTTAAAAATTATTTTGCCGGGCGTTGGTGCTGCACTCCTTTAATCCCAGCACTCGGGAGGCAGAGGCAGGTTGATCTCAAGTGAGTTCAAGGCCAGCCTGGTCTACAAAGTTCCAGGACAGCCAGAACTGTTACACAGAGAAACCCTTCTTGGAAACAAACAAACAAAACAAAAAAACCAACTTACTTTTTTTCCCAGCCTGTCTTGAACTACTAGCCCCTCACTGTCTCAGCCTCCTGGGTAGCTAGACTACAACAAACATTATCTCACAATGGTGACCCCATTAAGGCCGCTTTTTTAGTTGGGCTGAAAAAACACAAGGACAGGATTCAAGTTCTCTCTGTATTGGGGAACCTTTAAAGATAGCAGGAACTCTTAGGCAAGACCTGATGGGTGTGCCTAACAGCAGGGCAGTAACACAGAGGGTACGGTAAAGCTGGCAGAGTCCCGTCCATTTTCCTTGGGAGGGGCTTCAGCTTGCAGGCAGCATGTCTCAGCTATGTTTCTCCCTTGTAGACTGGTTCAGACAGGCTCTGAAGAAGCCCAAGAAGATGACGGTCTCCGGGGAAAGCCACCCCAGTGAAGGTTCACAGACAGCCACACAGGACGGTCCCCTACCCCAGAGCAGCAGCTCACCCACTAGCCGCAGCTCACAGCCGAGTTGCAGCTCACCCCCTAGCTACAAGTCACTCCCGAGCTGCAGTTCAGGAATGGCTTCCACCCTGCAACCAACACAGATGGACACCAGCTGCAGCAGTGGTCGCTGGAGCAAAGACTATGACGTCTGCGTGTGCCACAGTGAGGAGGACCTAGAGGCTGCCCAGGAGCTGGTCTCCTACTTGGAGGGTAGCCAGGCCAGCCTACGCTGCTTCCTGCAGCTTCGGGATGCAACCCCAGGTGGCGCCATTGTTTCTGAGCTATGCCAGGCACTGAGTAGTAGCCACTGCCACGTGCTACTCATCACCCCAGGCTTCCTTCGGGACCCCTGGTGCAAGTACCAGATGCTGCAGGCCCTAACAGAGGCCCCAGGGGCGGAGGGTTGCACCATACCCCTGATGTCTGGCCTGACCAGAGCCGCTTATCCGCCGGAACTCCGATTCATGTACTATGTGGATGGCAGAGGCCGGGATGGTGGCTTTTACCAAGTCAAGGAGGCTGTCATACGCTGTAAGATACAGGAGGGCCCGGAGCGGGTAGAAGTCAGCTGGTCTCTATATAAGGACTTTAGGAGATGGTCCCTGTAGTTCCAGTGATTGAAAGAGCTTCTGGAGAAGACTGGATTTCTACCCTGGCACCTTCACCCATTAGCGTTTGAGTTACTTGGCCGTGTTACTTAGCCCCTCTGAACCTTGGATCTTTCATTGCTCATTAGGACTGTATTACTGTAGAATGAGCACTTGTCAAGTACTTATGACAGGCAGGGCCTAACACAAACTCAATTCATATTAACTAGCAAGTAGTATTAGTATTAGTATTAGGTTTCTCTCTGAAATTGGATTAGAGGTGTGTTCAGGAGCTGGACGGATGCCAGGAGTGATATCAGTTTAGCTCTGCAAAAATTATAAGGGGGGGAAGGAGCGAGCAACCTGTAGTGTAATGGGAGGGACACACTGTAGGGGGTGGGGCAAAAACGTTGACAACTGAAGAGGGGAGGATGTAATGGGGGGAAGCATGCTGGTTTGGGAAGAGTAGCAAGCCTTGTGATTCTCTTTGATTTCTTTCAGATCTGGAAACACTAAGTTGACACAAGTTTTCCTGACCAAAGTTGGAAATAGCACACACCGGGTGCTGGATCCCAGTAGATACAGCTTTGGGAGCCAGAGCCAGCTGCACTCTGTACACCACACAGGATCAGATTGCTACCAGCTTCCATTACTGTGGGCTCCACAGGAAGGCTGGGCAGAAGATGGGGACCCCCCCCCCACAAGAAGACCAGGAGGAAGATGGGGACTCCCCAAGAAGGGCAGGAGGAAGCCAGGGACTCCCCCAGGAAGGCAATGAGGAAGTCAAAGTTTGGAGTTGTCAAGAGATTGTGGTATCAGGAGGGTCAGCAGTGTCTTGCCTGCTACTTAACTGGACAGGAAACTGACACCCAGCCGTCTCCCATCTCCCTACCCTCTAACCCCAATCAGGCACTGGGGTAAACAGTTACCACTCCTCACGAGGGGTGAGCCTGACTGATGAAGCAGAAGTCGGTGCTCCTTCCAGATGCCTAGGGAAGCCGGGAAGAGGCAGCAGGTATCAGTTCCTTCACACTCACACTACTGTAGTTCTGTCCCAGAGGCGTCAACTCACTTCCACAACACTGGATGAAAGGCCCCTCCAGCCCCACACTGAGTCTCACTTACTGAACAAATGTCATTTGAAATGCAAACCTAGCCAGGTCATTGGTTGGTATATGCCTTTAGGAGGTGGGTGCAGGCAGATCTCTGTGAGTTAGAGGCCAGCTTGGTCTCCAAAGCAAGTTTCAGAACAGCCAGAGCTGTTACACAGAGAAACTCTGTCTCGGAGAAAAAAAAAAAAAAAGCAAACCTGGGGTCTGGAGAGATGACTCAGTGGTTAAGAACTCTTGTTGCCTTTACATAGGATCCATGTTCAATTCCCAGTATTCACATAGTGGCTCACAACCACTTATCTATAACTCTACTTCCAGGGGAATCTAATGCCTTCTCTGACCAGGACCTCCTTGGGCATGGGGCACACATATGGAACACATGCATTCATGTAGGCAAAACAATCATACATATAAATCTTTCTTTAATATTAGAAATGCAAATCTAGGGCTCTAGGTGGAGTTGGTGGTAGAACGTTTGCTTAGCACGTATGAGGGTTTGGGTTTGACCTCCAGTACCATCAAAATGAAAAAGAAAACAAACTTGGAAGCCATTCTGAATACATGAACAAGTGAAGAAGGGAGAAGGAAAGGTGGGGTGTGGGGCTCAGCTTCTTCACCTGGACCATTTGGGACACCACATAGGATCCCCTCAGACATCTGCTAGAGCCCATGCTTCATAGCCCCTGCCTTTATATTGAGCTGAGAAGAACCAATGTTCTCAGTCTAGCACCAGTGTATATTCCCAGGGAGAGGTAAGGAGTCACCTATGTTCTCAATAAGAACAGAAACGTGGTCAATTGTCATGGTCTCCCCTGGTGTGTACCTTGAGCCTCTTCTTTGTGCCATGTCCCTTTACTGGAAACAAGTTATTTTTTGTTTTTTGTTTTTTGGGGGGTTTTGTTTTTTGTTTGTTTTTCAAGACAGGGTTTCTCTTTGTAGCTTTGAAGCCTATCCTGGCACTTGCTCTGTAGACTATGCTGGTCTTGAACTCACATAGATCCACCTGCCTCTGCCTCCTGAGTGCTGGGATTAAAGGTATTTGCCACCAATGCCTGGCTGAAAACAAATTATTTTTAAATTATGACTCTTTTGGATTATGAAGGATACTATACCATACTCGTGCACCTCCCACCTTAATATAAAAAATACAATAAGAAAACCTTATTCCCAACTTGCTTGTTTCCTTTGTGTTCTGAATTCCAGGCTCCTCATGTTTCCTAACAAAAATCACCACTTGAGCTTTTCTGCATGAAGTTTCTATAGATAAATGCACCCCAGCAAAATGTTATTTATTTTTATGACTTTATCTTTTATGCAAATCGCATCACAGCAAATCAAATTCCCTTTGTTTGACATGTTTGTGAGGTATGTCCATGTTGATGTGTCTGTCACTCATGAGTTTCCTTTTGTTCTAGGTCAGTGGTTCTCAGCCTGTGGGTTGAACAATCCTTTCATATGGGTCACATATCAGATATTCTGTATGTCAGATACTTATGATTCATAACAGTAGAAAAATTACAGTTATGAAGTAGCAATGGAAATAGTTTTATGGTTGGGGTCACCACAACATGAACTGTATTAAAGGGTCACAGTGTTAGAAGGTGGAGAACCACTGCTCTAAGATCATTTTAAAACAAATTCCAGGGTACTTTTCCCCCTAAACATTTAGTTATATACCTCTAAATCATGAGGTTTTTTTTAAACATGATAATGTTAGATTTTTTTTAATATAAAATACTGTCTATGAAGCTATCAGGGCTTTTTGTGTCTTACAAAATTCTCCCTGTGTTATTCCTACCTTCTACATTGAATCTTGAAAATAAGAAAGTTGGTTATATTTTCTCCCAAAGTATTTCTATTCATATTTAGATCCTGATTCCAATTGGGGTTATTTTGCTTTTCTGTTGTTTTCTTTTTGGTTTTTTGAAACAGAGTCTGTAGCCCAAATTTGAGATCCTTCTAGCTCAGCTTCCCAAATGCTGGGATTTCAGGCATTATTAGCTATCATGCCTGGCTTGTTCTTGGTTTTCAAGTTAGAAATCCAATTATTTTCTCTTTTTTATATCAGTTACTTAGTGGTCTTTCCTATGTCCACTGATAACTGTTTGTTGTTTTCTGTTTGTTTGAGATAGGATCTCACTATGTATTCCTGGATGGTCAAGAATTCACTATGGGGCTGAAGAGATGGCTCAGAGGTTAAGAGCACTGACTGCTCTTCCAGAGGTCCTGAGTTCAATTCCCAGCAACCACATGGTGGCTCACAACCATTGGTTATGAGATCTGGTGCCCTCTTCTGGTGTGGAGATATACATGGAAGCAGAATGTTGTATACATAATAAATAAATAAAATCTTTAAAAAAAAGAAGAATTCACTATGTAAACTAGGCTGGCCTAAAACTCATAGTGATGTGTCTGCCTGTCTCAGTGCAGTGCTGGGATTAAATGTGTGTGCCCGTAGACCCAGCTACTGCTGTTGCATACTGCCATGTATGTGTCTATTGCTGTTTCTTTAGTCTCTTTCAAGTATACCCTGTGTGAGAGCTACAGTGTCTTTTAAAAAGCCTTAATACTGAGCTGGAGAGATGGCTCAGTGGTTAAAAGCACTGACTGTTCTTACAGAGGACCCAGGTTCAATTCCCAGTACCCACATGGCCACTCACAACTGTCTGTAATTTCAGTTCCAGGGGACCCAACATTCATGGTAAAATATCAATGCACATAAAATAGAAATAAATAAATTTAAAAGGTCTTAATAACCCGTGGACCAACTCTTCCCACTCTTCTTGCTCATCTAAATCACTCTATCTTTTCTTAATTCCTACTTCTCTGCATTGTTTATTCATACTGTCAGGTGCCAGGGAAAAGTACTTTTATTGGAGTTACATCGAGTTTGTGGATTTCACTAGAAAAATCAGGTCCTTTTATGATAAAGCTTTCCTGTCCATAAAGGAGCATCTCTATATCTTCAAATGTATTTCAATAAGGTTGTATAATATTTTTCATAGTAATAATCTCATCTTTAATTAGATTTATTCTTCCTCACTTCCTATTTCTGATGCTACTGTGAAGCATTTAAAAATTATATCTACATATGCCTTCCAATAGCATGCATATATATATGATATTATATTGGTCTAACACTAAGTACCATGCTACATTATTTCAATGACTATAGATTTTGTTTGGTTTCTGTGCTCCTTAAGACCTCCAGTGCAATTGTGAAAGAACTGACAACAGCAGCCATTCAGGCACTGATGTCATATTGCTTAAAGGGAATGCTTCAGCCATTTCACCATTAAAATGTGCCTGCTGGGCTGGGCAGTAGCGGCTCACACCTTTAATCCCAGGATCTCTGTGAGTTCAAGACCATCCTGGTCTACAAGAGCTAGTTCCAGGATAGCCTCCAAAGCCACAGAGAAACCTGTCTCAACCCCACCTCCCACCTCCACCGCCGCAAAAAAATTTGTGCCTGCTGTAGGTTTTTATGTGAAGGGAGGGCAGTATGTATACATTAGTGCAAGTATCCTAGGAATCTAGAGGGATCCACTGGATCACCTGGAGCTGGAATTATAGGAACTTGCCACATGAGGGATAGGAACTGAAGTTGGGTCTTTTGGAAGAGCAGAACGCACTCTCAACTTCTGAGCCATGTTTCCAGCCCTGCTTTTCTTCTGAGACAGGATCTCACTCTGTAGCTCGGATGTCTTTTACTTATTTATTTTTAATTTTATGTTTTTATTTATCCTAAAGATTCTGCAGGCTTCTTGACAAAAATTGGGACAATCTGGGCTTGAAGTTCCCCATTACTAAAAGCATCAAAAAGTGGATTGAACTTCACTTTTGTTGAATAACTTGATTTTGAAGTCAAGTGATATTTAAAGTCACGTGGGAAAGGTTGAATGAGTGCCTGTGGAGTCATCAGTTTCTCTTCTTAGGGCAGGTTCAAGTGCTGCAACTGCCCGTCCTGACCCTAATAGAATTGTTTTATATTTGACTGGTAGGTAGTTAGGTGCTCCTGTCTCCTAAGCAGAAAACTAGAGAACTATCTGGGGAATCAAAACTGCACAAGAAGCCAGGCATTGGTGGTGCACTCCTTTAATCCCAGTACTCAGGAGGCAGGCGGATCTCTGTGAGTTCGAGGCCAGCCTGGTCTCTAGAGTGAGTGCCAGGATAGGCTCCAAAGCTACACAGAGAAACCCTATCTCAAAAAACCAAAAAAAAAAAAAAAAAAAAACCTGCACAAGAGAAAATCCATACAGACTTTGATGCTGGTAACTCCAAAATTACCTAAGGTGAGGTTTAAAATGAACTAGCTCTGCTTGTGCAATAGTGGCTCAAAGCTTGTGGAAGTAAACAACCAATATCTGATTGGATTTAATTCCCACTCCATTTGAAGGATAGTTCAGAGACTTTTTGGACTCAAACACGTGGTGGTCCTCCTACCTCAATTTCCAAATGCTGGAATTATTGGTATGAGCTACCATACCCAGTTTTGTCTGTTATTTCTTACAGATGTATTCCCAGTTATGAACATGAGATTATATTAGTTACTTCGTATTGCTGTGATAAAACACCATGGCCAAAGCAGCTTATAGAAGGAAGGGTTTATTTGGGCCTCTGGTTCCAGGTCCATCATAACAGGGAAGCTGGCAGCAAACAGAAGGCAGGGATCAGGATGCTGAAGGCTCAAACCTTGAACTATAGGAAGGTAGCAGAGAGAGCAACTGGAAGTAGGTTGAAGCCTTAAGCTCTCAAAGCCTGCCCCTGGTGACATACTTCCTCTAGGAGGCCACATCTCCTAATCCTTCCCAAAAATCTCTGTCAACTGAGAATCAAGTATTCAAATACCAGAAACTATATTCATCCATATATGCATTTCTATGTAATTATATGTATTTATCATTTAAACCACTAAAATGGCTAAAAAAAATTTTCTCTCCTATTTGGTGAACCAGCCAGGAGATTCTGTGATATACCATTTACTTTAGGACCCACAGATAAAATCCTAGAAGAACTGGCAGAAGTCAGCAGGAAAAAAAAAAGAAGGAACTCTGTGGGATCTCTGTGGCCTCGAACTCACAGAGATCCGCCTGCCTCCCGAGTACTGGGATTAAAGGAGTGCACCACCAATGCCTGGCTTCTTGTGCATTTGTTTGAGAGAGGTTCTCACTACCTTGCCCTTAACTGTCCTCAAACTCATGGTGTAGATCAGGATAGCCTCAGACTTGTGGCTGATCTTCATGCCTCTGCCTCCAGGGTGCTGGGATTATAAGTGTACACCATCATATACAACTCTGAAAAATGTAAGAATTCTTACCAAATTTCTAGCTGTAGTACTTACCTAAGAAGACATCTTGATCTATTTTTTACACTATGATAAGATACCTGAGCCTAAGTCTTCTGTAAGGCAGTTTATTTAGCTTGGTTTTGGAGACTGAAGTCTTGGATCAGGTGGCCACATCTGTGCTACCTCTCTGGTAATAGCCTCTTGACATGGGACAAGAGTATGTGGGTATAAGATCTCATGGAAAGCCAGAGATTTGGGAGGTCAGACACAGTCTTTTTATAATAAGCTTTTCTCATAAAAACCTGACTGCAAGAACGAGTCTGTAGAAGGCTGTAGTAGAGCTCTTCCTGAGCATGCATTGGCCCCTGTGTTCTAACCCCAGGCCCACAAAGGAAAAAATACATTAAGTACTTCCAAGAATAGCACCAGGATGACTAACAGCCTTCCAGAAGTGTGGTGGTTTGCATGAGAATGGCCCCCACAGGTTCATATATTCTAATCCTTTGTCTCCTGTTGGTGGAAAGGTTAGATGTGCCTTTGTGTCAATGGGGTTGGGCTTTGAGATTTTAAAAGATTCTCATCTTTCTAAGTGTCTCTTTCTGCCTCATAGGTCTCAAGATGTGAGCTCTCAGCTATGGCTCCAGCACCATGCTTGACTGCCTGCTGCCATGCCCTCTTCTGTAATGGTCATGAACTTTAACCTTTTGAAATTATAAGCCCCAAGTAAACTCCCCTGTAAGCTTCCTTGTTTATGCTATCTTATCACAGAAATAGAAATAACTAAGGGAAGTAGTGTGCTGGCTAGTTTTATATGTACTTGACACAAGCTGAAGTTATTTTGGAAGAGGGAACTTCAACTAAGAAGATACCCACACCAGATTGAC